CAGGATCTCCTACATCCCTTCCAAGTGGATGGCAGTGGTAGCTGGGCACCATCTAGTTCTTCTGGTCTCATGGTTGTATAGGTTGCAGATCAGATGGTGTAGGTTCATTCTTTTAATTTTGATTTTTTTTTTTTTTAAACACTTCAGACCATGTGTCGATTTCCCACAAGCACTTGCTTCTCCCAAAGGACAGTAGAGCAGAGGTCTAATTTTAGGGCAGAGAAGTGAGTCCAGTCTCTGAGAAAGCAGGCAGGAGCATCCAGGTGGTTTTGAGTGAAGAAGCAGCATTGTGTACCAGTGTCCTTTTGTTCTCTGAAAAGTCCCTGCGTGATTCAAACGATTAAGCACTCTGCTACTAAAGGAAATGTTGGAGGCTTGAGTCCATCCAGAGGCTCTTCAGAAGAAAGCCCTCACAATCTGCTTCTGAAAATCAGCCATTGAAAGCCCTATGGAACACAGTTCTACTCTGTCACACATGGGGTTACCGTGATTTAGAGTCAACTCGACAGCATCTGGCTCTCTCCTCTGTCTCCAGTTCCTTACACGGTCACCCAGTGCTAGGATTCCTAGTGCCAAAAGTAGGGTTTCAGAGTCTTCAGAGGAAAGGATTTGGTAACTGGAAATTGGAGGGTTGAGAGGCTGGAGCGATTCACCCTGGAGCAGACACTGAGGATGAATGAGACAATCCACTGTGCTTTAAAAGTATTCCCATAGAACTGTGGGAGCCATCAACCACATGTGACAGCTTTCAAAGACCAATATAAAGAATGTAAAATATCTTGTTAGTAATTTTTAAAATATTGATTACATGATGAAATGGTAATAGTTTTGATATATTGGGTGAAATAAAATACATAATTGTAATTAACTTCGTCTGTTTCTTTTTGTTTGCTTAATGTGGTTACTAGAAAATTTTAAAAGTATGCCTGAGGTTGTCATTATACTTCTTTTGGACAACAGTGTATTATAATAACTTATTTAATTTTTACTTGCATGAACCTTAAGCAAAAAGAAATACTTTAACATACATTCCTAATGGTTACAACTTGACCTGAACCAATTTGATCTCAAACAACTCTTTGGGTAGGCAAAGTAGCTTTAGAAGTTTGTGGTGGGTGAGAGTTAGTTATTCCCTTACAATCTTGCTAAAGCTTTATAACAAATTCACAAGATTGACATTTATTAAATGAATATTTTTTTTCCCTCTGATGCAGGGCCCCAAAAGTTCATACAGCCCTTTCTGTAGGTTCTACAAAGTCCCAACTTTTTGTTGTTTTAGGTGCTAAGACAACACTTTGCATAAAAAGTTAACTCAAGGCAGATGCTACAATAGTCCAGAGTCAGAATTCTGATATCCTTGTAGTTGGCATCAAGCAATCAAAAATCTTCCTATACCAGTGGTCCTTAACAGGAATAATTGAAGAATCAAGTGCCTTTCCAAGAGTTCGGGTCAAAGGCCTTGCTGGAATCTTAATCTTATTAATGTAAGAGTGTCAAAAAAAGATCTTGCCCAATCCACGTACATTGACTGCCTTACCTCTATTCACCCAAGGATGGAACCAAAAACAACAACAACAACAACAACAACAAAAACAAACTCACTGTTGTTGAGTTGGATCTGACTCATAGCGACCCCTCTTTAGGTTTCTGGGGCGGTATCACTACGGAAGTAGATTGCCCAACCTTCCTTCCAAGGAGTGGCTAGTGGGTTTGAACCACCAGCCTTCTGGTTAGCAGTCAAATGCCTTAGGCACTATGCCACCAGAACTCCCCAAGGATAGAAATATCTCAAATATTTTACTTAAACTTCACATCTACGTTTATTGATGAAAGCACATTTCTAACATTCATCATGCTTATTAACCAGCCATTGGTAAGCAAGTGAAAATCTATTCATTTTTAATATTTAGTACACTAATTCATAGAGACTCAGGTATAGGCAGGTGTGGATGGCAGAGGCATCTCTGGAGAGTGGGAAGTCCTGATGAGCCCAAGTAACACCTGAAACATCACACTGAACATGCTAAAGTGCTTAATTTCAGACATTAGGGCACTATCCTTTTAAGGTGTTGTTATGTGCCATTGAGTCGGACCTGACTCATAGCGACCCCTCCTTGAGTTTCTGAGGCAGTATCATTATGGAAGTAGATTGCCCCATCTTTCTTCCGAGGAGTGGCTGGTGGGTTTGAACTGCCAGCCTTCTGGTTAGCAGTCAAGTGCCTTAGGGACTAAGCTACTAGAGAGCTCCCATCCTTCTAAGAGAACAAGCAATTCTTTTATAGCAGAGTGAAAAAAAAAGTTTGGTGAGAAAATTCAACCCTCTGTATACATGTGTTGTTTACAGCTTTAAAGAAACAAATGCTATTTGCCATGTCAATCATTCTAAGAAGTTTGTGTGTGTGTGTATGTGTGTGTGTGTGTGTGTGTATGTATGTATGTATATTTAAATTTTCATTGTGATTTGGGTGAAAGTTTATAGAGGAAATTCACTTTCCATACAGTAGCTCACGTGCACTTTATCTCATGGCATTGACTGCAATTTCGCACAGTGAAACATCTCCCCCCCTACTTCTTCCCTATAATTACCTCTTCCCTGTGTCCTTCTCTCTCATGTACTCCTGCCCCCTGAGCTGTCTCCCTGTGCATACATGGCCCTTCTATTCTCCCATGATTGATCTCTACAAGGAATGTATCTACCTAATTTAAATGTTCAGCTCATATGCCTGTCTTTTGTTTGGCTGGAAGCTACAGGAGTGGGTTCAATTCCAGACTTAAAGGGCAGCTAGGGGGCATAGTCTCAGTGGTTCCACCAAGCTCTATCAGACCAGGAAACCTGGTCCTTTTTTTTTTTTTTTACAATTTTGAGTTTTATTCCACATTGTTCTCCCTCTCTATCCAGGATCTCCTACATAGATCCCCCTCGAGTGGTTGACAGTGGTAGCTGGGCACCATCTAGTTCTTCTGGCCTCATACTCATATAGGTTGAGGATTGTAAAAAATGTATTTTTGTATTAAAAAATACATACCAAAACCAAACTCATTGCCATCGAGTCAATCCCGACTCATAGCAACTCCCTTTGGATTTTCGAGGCACTAAATCTTTATTGAAGTAGATTGCCCAGTCTTAGTCTCAAGGTTAAGGTCAACAGTTCTTGGGAAAACACTAAGAAAATAAAGGTTTTTAGTATAAAGGGAAATATTTCTTTATTTAGTAAACTGTCTTAGAAACTCAACTCACCGATGATGAGATAAAGACGTATTTAGATGTAACTTAAAATTTAAGATATGCAAATTTATTTGAATATTATTATGTATGGTATGGTATGAAAATTGATGTATGTGTTTACCCTAACTTTATGATCTTTCTAGTTCAGGGCTTCTCAGCTCTAGCATCATTGACATTTTGGACAAATAATTTTTTGTGGGGGACTGCCCTGGATATTGTAAGATGTTGAGCAATGTCCTTGGCCTCTAACCACTAGATAACAGTAGCAGCCCATTACCCAAGCCATGACAATTAAAAATGTTTTTAGACGTTGCCACATAACTGGTGGGGGACACACTCCCCACTTGAGAACTACTATTTGAGGCCAGGGGCAATGAACTAGAAATGCCCTCAGGTTCGTATGCTCATAAACCTGGCTAATTGTACACCCATGGACCACTGCCACCACTAGAGGACCCTCCAGGGTTGTGTATATGATTTTCTTTCTTATCCTAGGAAGCAGATGAAGCTTTACTGTATAATCTTCGCCTTCAAATCCAAGCCCAGTATCTGCAGGATGATATCAGTGCAGCAAAGGACAGGTACAAAAAGGTAACCATGATCCTTCTGAAGCCCTCCCCCAGAAACCTCAGTTTGAATTTGGTTACACAAGCCTAAGCCCCTCAGGCTGAACAATGAGACTGCACAACGCTCTCGCTACCTTTTTGAGAGTATTTTCCCTCGAACCAAATGGGTGGTGGGCTGGTCACTGGATAGCACTTTTATAGCTAGATGTATGTAGAGGAGTCTGCAAGAGCCTTGTGTGTGCATGCACGTATGTTTACATATGTGTTAGGGAGTGGTAATGGGAACTAATAATCAACATAGTACTTTACAGTTTACAAAGTAATTTTACATGAAACTGATTAAGTTACAATCAAATGTCAACCATTGCAACTCTGATTATGCAGGTGCATTGTTTTTCATCTTTGCTTCTGAGCCATTTAATTAAGGGAACTCATGACATTCAGGAACCTCCTCTACGGAATGCTCTGCTCCCATCCTGTCCTCTTCCCAAACTTTGGAAGGGGGCTTCTGTATACTGGAACATGGGAAAGTATTCATCTCTAGGTTTGCTTAGTGCTAGAGGGAAAATCTCAGGCAGCTCAAGTTTTAATGAGAATGCTTTCCATCCCTCAACAGAATCTTCTGGAAATTCAGACCTATGTCAGCATCCTGCAGCAGATCATACAGACGACTCCTCAAGCATCTACCATTATGGGTGGGATGGCCGAGGTAAGAATTTGAGCCACAGATGCAGGGAAAGCAAAAATTTCCTGAGGGAAATTGTATCTGGAGATATTTCTCCTACCCCTCTTGAACCTGCTTAACCTGGTCAGGCAGGCTGTTAGGGGAGCAGCGCCAGTTGTATACCTTTTCTTTTCTCCCACTTTGTATTCTTATCTGAATTCAAATTTGTGTTCATGGTTTTGTTTGTTTTTGAACTCATACTGTGAACACTGGTACTTAGACATGAGAAAACATAAAATATCCCTAATCATTTTCTTTTGTATTTCCTTTTGAGAATTATGGAACTTCTTCCCTGTCAGAATTCACTCAACAGCAACTGGTCCTTCCTTGCATACTTTTCAAGAAATGACCAATGACCAAAGCAGTTGTGGTGTTGTATCCCCAACAGCTCTGAGTGAGAGATTTTGTTGCTTTGCACTTGGTATGTCAGGTTTTTTTTTCCCCTTGTTGTTCTAATATATATGTTGTGTCTCTCTTTGTGGTTGTAATTTGCATTTCCCTAAGGACTAATGGGAGCTCTGGTAGCATAGAGGCTAAGACACTTGACTGCTAACCAGAAGGCTGGCAGTTCAAACCCACCAGACACTCCTCGGAAGGAAGATGGGGCAATCTACTTCCGTAGTGATACTGCCTCGGAAACCCAAGGAGGGGTCGCTATGAGTTGGGGCTGACTCGACGGCACATAACAACAACAACAACAAGGACTAATGGGTTTGAGCATCTTTTCATGTGCTTATTTGACATCTGTGTGTCTTCTTTGTAGAAATACATATTCAAATTTTTTGTCCATTTTTTAAAATTGGGTTTTTGGTTCCCCTTATTAATTTGACCATAAATTTTGAACATACAGAGAGCCTCAGACAATTATGAACATATTTTCAAGAGCAGTTCTGCTAATGATTAAGTGAGTCTGTGGCATGAAACTATTTGGAAAGGCAATACAAAAAACCCCACTGCCATTGAGTTGATTCTGACTCACAGGACAGAGCAGAACTGCCCCCGAGTCTGTAAATCTTTACAGAAGGAGACCACCTCATCTTCTTCCTGTGGAGCAGCTGGTGGGTTCCATCCTCCAATCTTTGGTTAACAGCTGAATGTTTTAAGCACTATGCCACCAGGGCTCCGGAAAAGCATTGGTTTAGCTTAAATAGTATATAATGTCTTCCTTGAACATTATGTTCTTTTAAGAGCTATCTATATGGGATCAAATTGACAATAGCAACTTGAAAAATTAGATAGGAACCATAGGGGACAGTGACTTTTTATGTTAATAGGGGAGGAGCAGCTCAGAAAAGGAAGGTGAGAATGGTTGGACAATTTGAAGAATGTAATCAATGTTACTGAATTGGAATTTCTAACTTGAATTGGTGTAGGTTTCTGCTGTGGATATTCTTAACAACAACAACAACAACAACAACAAAAAAAATTACTCAACATACTATTTGGAATTGGTAAGGGTTTACTGAACTCACTCTTTTAAAAAATGAGGATTTGGATGTATTTTATTCCCAGTATAAGTTTCCAAATTGCTTCTTCACTTAACTCTCCAGCTGCTCAACAGGATATGTTTCCTCCCCCCCCCCCACAATGTTTCTAGTATTTTGTGATTCATAATAAAATATATATGAAAATAAATGGAAAAGGATGCAAATCAAAACAAAAAATGTAACTTTGCCCCATATCTGGAGGCTGTTTTGATGGACCAGTCACTGGTAAGATGCTGTTTCCTTTTGCAAGGATGACCAGTGACGGTGGTTCTTACTGATGGCTGCATTTGGAATCAGTGGGAAGTGTGCTCAGGCTATGCACAAGTAGATTAAGTAAGACTGAAAGGAGGTGTGATCCTGCCTCAGTGGTTTTCAGCTCTCCAGGGGATTCCAGCTTGAGGATAAGCTTGGGAACCAGTGGGCCTAAAGAGCAGGTTGCTTGAGTTTGTGTTTCATCTTTATTTTTTATATCAAAGTTGAAGAAATCCTAAAATTTGCTTTAGAATACACCTTTCAACTCTGCCAGGTAGCGTTTGAGAGACAGGGAAGTTCCCTTTTTAGCTTCCATTAGGATATTCTTGTCCAAATTGCCCCCTAGTTACCACTTCAGAGTCTTGCTCTTTAATTAAAGTAACCAAGGCTGCTACAAGCCCTGAAAGAGTTTTTCCTGAGCCTTCATTTTCTTTGTCAGTGGTTCCTTTCCAGATACCTGATTCTTATTTTGCACTCATTTTCCTCTCTAACTCAAGGTGTTTTACATTGCAGTATGCATTTAAATCTTATGATCTATTATAAAATTCTTCTACATTATGAGAATATAGAGATTGTCTGAACTTACTTTAATGTCATTGAATTGGCATCCACTGGGAGCTGGTTTAGGAACTCTGGTGGTGAAGTGGATAAGGCATTTATTTGGCTGTTAACCAGAAGGTCAGTGATTCAAACCCACCAGCCACTCCGCAGAAGGAAGATGGGGTGCTCTACTTCCGTAAAGATTTACAGCCTTGGAAATCCAGCGGGGGTCACTATGAGAATCAACTCGATGGCAGTGAGTTTGGAGTTTTGGGTTTGGGGAGATTCCCCAGCCCCTCACTGTTGACCTACTGAGTCAGAACCTGTGTTTCAGCAAAAGGCTAGGGGCACTGATTAAGAAAGTACCACATCCTTTCTTAGCATAAAAGTTCTAAATATGAGTTAAATGGTTGCTTTGAGGATTTTGTTTTTCATTGCCTCTTGTTTCTGTCCTAGAAAATGTACAAGTCACTTTTGCACAAATGAGGATGTAATCAGTATGTTCCTTAGGCTAGTTGGTTAATGGGTTAGTGGAAGCAGTAGTGTCAGTGTCCACCAGGCAGAGGCCACTGGAGACACACCTATAGTCAAAAGCAGAGGGGTTTATTATTTACTGCAGCAAGGGAGCATGCACATGGGGAGACCTAAGAGGTGTTTCTGCAAGAGGACATGGGAGCGACTGTCATGGGATCTGGATCTTTGTCAGGTGATTCTGGGGAGAGGTCAAGTAAGCTAAGAGTCCCTGGATGGTGTAAACATTTAACTCACTTGACTGAAAGGTTAGAGGTTCAAGTCTACCCAGAGGCACCTTGGAAGAAAGTCCTGGTGACCTACTTCCAAAAAATCAGCCAATGAAAAACCCCGGCTAGCATTGTTCTACTCTGACACACATGAGGTCACTGTGAGTTGGAGTTGACTTAATGGCAACTGGTTTAGGTCATTTCAAGTAAGCAGGGGTTTGCTCTAGGTTGGGTGCTCTCAGAAAGAGGGGACTAGTTCTGTGATCCAGTACCTTAATCTTAGTAATTGTGTCTAGAGGGCAGAAGGAATGGAGCACGGCTAAAGCTACAATTGGTAAAGAAATAGCATCACTCGTGTTAATGAGGAGAATGGGGTGTTTGGTCATTTTTGTAGTTGCATGATGTTCTTTTTGTCTGCTCAGACATGATGACAGCATAAGCTTGCTTTTGTCCCATTCTCCACTGGCCCTAGAGTGATGCCTTCCCCTGCTAGTGGTCTTGGCATTGCTTGTAAGTCAGGAACGCCATGGTCTGCGCATAGTGCCAGGCTGTCCACCAGCAGATGGCTGCACAGCAGTTATGCTTCCTTTTCCCTATGTATGTAAGACCTGAGGGCATACTATATGTGGGGCACTATGCTAGGCACCCTGTAGGCAGGGATGAAGAGGGGTATCAAGATGAATAGTTGCTAAGCAGTAAGCAGAGGCTGAGTGGGAGGTGGTGTGATGTGCTTGCATGTGTCTCCCTCCTTCCTGAGATTGCAGGCCTAGAGTTTGCAAAGCTAGCATCTTTGCGGATCCCTGTTATATCAGTACCCAGGGATAGGAAGCCCTTCTGCTCTCAGGTACTCCCTTGTCTATGTCTTTGAGTCTGGGACACAGGTACTGAGAGACAGAGAAACAAAGAACACAGAGATGGAGAAAAACAGGCTGAGACATAGAAGAGACCAAGAAAGATCCATGCCACCAGAAACTAAGGAAAGCAGGGATAAACAGACCTGAGATAAACAGGTGAGGGGTTTCTGTGGTTTACATCTCCAGGCCATCTTCTCCATGTGGCTGACTCTGGGATCTGGAGTCACGCTTCCTTCCTTTAGTCTTGCTCTGGCATTCTAAGGGTCTGAATTTCTGCTCCCACAAGGTTAGTAGGTGTCTGAGAGTGAATGGCTGCTGTAAACGAATGGGTTTGGACTTGTGAGCACTTGGTGTATATATATGTTTTCGATTTTGAGTGGTTTTGAATCAGCACATCTGTGTCAGAAGGTGCTCTTTTTGTACAGCCAGGCTTTGGGAAGCAGTTGAGATGTTTGAACAGACATTGGAAATGCCAGTCAAGAAGGGATGCTGGCTTGGCAGAGTATTGAGGGATGAAGGCAGGATTTTCCTGTTTTCCAGGTCATTCTAAGAAATGTTGATAGTTCTTTGGCTGCCTTCCCAGGGATCCCTGCTTCCATCTCACACTTGGGACCCCCAGTGACTGAGTCCTGCTGTGAAGTCTTAGCACAAGATGATAACCCAGAGGCCAGAATAACCAGACTGACTTGCACTGTTGTTGTTAGCTGCCATTCAGTTGGCTTGATTCATAGTGACCACCTGCACAATGGAACAAAATGTGCCACTCCCATGACTGGTTGTAGACCATCGTGATCCATAGGGTTTTCAATGGCTGATTTTTGGAAGTGCATTTCTAGGCCTTTTGTCCTAGTCTGTCTTAGTCTGGAAGCTTTGCTGAAACCTGTTCAGTATCGTAACACACAAGCTCCACCGGCAGATGGGTGGTGGCTGTGTGTGAGGTATAGTGGTCAGAAATTGAACCCGTGTCTCCCTCTTGGAAGGTGAGAATTCCACCACTGCTCCCTGCTTTCTTTCATAGACATGGAGAATTAGAGCTGAACAATATTCCAAGTTTTCTTTTTTATAGAAGAAAAAAACGAGACTTTGAGAATAACCAAATCTAAACTTGGGTCTCCTGACACATAGTCTCATGCCTTTTACACTCAAAACCATTTGATGATTCCAACATTAATAGTGACCTCTGTGAGCCCTATACCTTCTTTGCTCTTTCTTCTTTGGATTTCAGAAGTGAAGTCTTTGCAGGCCCATGTGTGAGAGCTAAGTCTGGCCTTCTTTCTACAGGAGAAGCTTCTGACTGAACAGAAGGTTGCTGTCCTGCAGAGCCAGCTGGATGAGAGCCGAGGCACCCTCTCTCACCTCCAGATGCAGAGGTCCAGGCTGCAGACTGAGGTACCACTCTGCACCCCGCTTCCTGCCACTCTCTATTGGTGGCACCACATGTGTGAGTGCCCAACAGGTTAACCTGGGTTTCACAACGTGTTTAATTGAAGTATAACATACATAGAGAGTGTATAAGTATGTATAAGTATTCAATGAATTTCCACACACTGCATGCACCCAGCATGCAGTTAAAGAGACAGAATGTTCCATACAGGTGACCAATCATCCTTGTGTGCCTAGGACTGAGGGACTTCCCAGGATACCAGTCTTTCATTGCTAAAACCAGCAGAGTCCTGGGCAAAATGGAGGCAGTTAGTCATGCCAATTCCTGGCTGCCTAGAAGTTCCCCTTGAGTCACCAGTTTCTCCCTACCAAGGGTAGTGCTATCCTGACTACTAACGTAAGTGACTTGCCAAAGTTCAAGTCATTTTTAAGAATAAGAGGGAATGGACCATATTGGGATTTTGAGGAGCCTGGGTGGCATGGCTGAAACTGAAAAAAAAAAAAAAAAAAGATTGGCAGTTTAAACTCATGAGTTGCTCCACAGGAGAAAGATGTGGCAGTCTGCTTCCATAAAGATTTATAGCTTTAGAAACTCAATAGGGCATTTCTACTGTGTCCTAAAGGGTCACTATGAGTTAGAATCGACTTGATGGCAACAGGTATTAGAATTTTTATCCTACACTTGTTCCCATCTCTGCTTCCTGCTTCTCTTCTCATGCCCTTAATAATCTCTCCTTTGGAATTTGATAACAAATCTGCAAAGGAGTGGTTGTGTTAGTATCTGCCTCTTTGTTGTGCTGTTATAGATGCCGTCAAGTTTGTTATGACTCATAGCAACCCTGTGTACAAGAGAATGAAACATTGCCTGGTCTGTACCATCCTCACAATCATTGCTGTGTTTGAGCCTATTGTTGCAGCCACTGTGTCAGTCCATCTTGTTGAGAATCTTGCTCTTTATTGCTGACCCTCTACTTTACCAAACATGATATACTTCTCCAGGGACTGACCCCTTCTGACAACATGTCCAAAGTATATGAGATGAAGTCTTGCCATCCTTGCTTCTAAGGAGCATTCTGGTTATACTTCGTCCGAGAAAGGTTTGCTCATTCTTTTGGCAGTGCATGGTGTATTCAGTATTCTTCACCAACACCATAGTTCAAAGACATCAAGTCTTCTTTGATTTTCCTTATTCATTGTCTGAAATTCACATGCGTATGAGAAAATTGGAAATACCATGGCTTGAGTCAGGTGTACCTTACTCCTCAACGTGACATCTCAGATTTTTAACACTTCATAGTGGTCTTTTGCAGCAGATTTGCCCAATGCAATATGTCATTTGATTTCTTGACTGCTGCTTCCATAGGTGTTGATTGTGGATTCAAGTAAAATGAAATCCTAGACAACTTGTCTTTTCTCCACTTATGTTATTTATTGGTCCAGGTGTGAGGAGTTTTGTTTTCTTTATGTTGAGGTGTAATCCATACTGAAGGCTGTAGTCTTTGATCTTCATCAGTAAATGCTTCAAGTCTACTTTACTTTCAGCAAGATGGTTGTGTTATGCGCATATCACAGGTTGTTAATGAGTCTTTCTTCAATCCTGATGCTACGTTCGTCTTCATATAGTCCGGCTTCTTGGATTATTTACTCAGCATACAGATTGAATAAATTATGGTGAAAAGTACAACCCTGACACACACTTTTCCTGATTTTTAAACCATGCAGTATTCCCCTTGTCCTGTTCAAACTACTGCCTCTTAGTCTATGTACAGGTTCTGCATGAGCACAATTAACTCTTATGGAATTCTCATTCTTCACAATGCTATCCATAATTTGTCATGATCCACACAGTTGAATGTCTTTACACAGCCAATAAAACACAGGTAACATCTTTCTGATATTCTCTGCTTTCAGCCATCTGACATGAGCAATGAGGTTATTCCATGTCCTCTTCTGAATCCAGCTTGAATGTCTGTCAGTTCCTTGTAGTTGTACTGCTGCAACCATTTTTGAGTGATCTTAAGCAAAATTTTACTTGCATGTGATATTAATGATATTGTTCAGTAATTTTTACTTTCTGTTGAATCACCTTTCTTTAGAATGGGCACAAATATGGGTCTCTTCCCATTGTTTGACCAGGTAGCTGTCTTCCACATTTCTTGGCATAAATTAGTGAGCACATCTAGCACTGCATCCCTTTGTTGAAACATCTCAATTAATATTCCATCAGTTCCTGGAGTCTTGTTTTGCACTAGTGCCTTCAGTGCAGCTTAGATGTCTTCCTTCAATACTATCAGTTTTTGATTATATGTTGCCTCCTGAAATGGTTGAACATCGACCAATTCTTTTGGGTACAGTAACTGTGTATTCCTTCCATCTTCTTTTAATGCTTCTGGAATTGTTCAATATTTTGCTCATAAAAAACAAAAACAAAAACAAAACTCACTGCCGTCAAGTTGATATGACTCATAGTGACCTCTCCTTGGATTTCTGAGGTGATATCTCTATGGAAGTAGATTGCCCAATCTTCCTTCCAAGGAGTAGCTGGAGGGTTTGAACTGCCAGCCTTCTGGTTAGCAGTCAAATGCTTTAGGCACTATGTCACCTTCAACATTACAACTCAAGGCTTGAATTTTTTCTTTAGTTCTTTCATCCTGAAAAATACTGAGTGTGTTCTTCTCTTTGCATTTTCTAATTCCAGCGTTTTGCACATTTCATTATAATACTGCAAAAAGGGCATGGGGCAGAGTTCTCTGGCTGCCTGTAACTTGACTAGGGGAGAGAACACCACCATCAGCAGCCCAAGGTTGATTCCTATGAGGTAAAAGTCAGATGGCCACCACCTTCTAATATGTTTACCAATTCTGACACCAACTGTCCCTTACATGGCACTCACTGCTTCTCTGCTGGGTTTGATAATTCATTACAATGGCCACACAGAACTCACAGACAATAGTTATGGTTATGGGGTTTATTAGGTAAGCAACAGGTTACAATTCAAGTTCAGAAATGCTCAGGCTACAGTTCTTTGATTAGGACAGCCTCCCCTCATCCATATGCCTTCAAGCATGCCACTTTTTGGTCCTTGGCCTCTCAGTCTAGTCTCTCCCCTCTTTGCACAAGTGTTGCACAGCTCTTTTAGCTCTGCCAATAGGTAAACCTAGGTGTACCCCACTTGACCAGCAAGCCTCCTGCCTGAAGGCAGTCAGATTTCTTGTTCCATGTGCCAGCAAACCCGCTGCTCCATCTCATGCCAGTCTCTTGGTTCTGCTGCTGCCATTTCTCTGCTATTGTCTCAGTGTAGGGATCTCATGTTCAAATATGTGCTACACTCCTGTCTTCTCTCTCTTGATGGCAGTGAGATCCCCTTTTTCCATCTCTGGGAACACTCATTTTAAGCCTGGTGAAATAACAAGAAGGAGCTCTGGTGGGATAGTGCCTAAGGCATCTGGCTGCTAACCAGAAGGCTGGTGGTTCAATGCCACCAGCCACTCCTCGGAAGGAAGATTGGGCAATTTACTTCCATAGAGGTACCACCTCAGAAACCCAAGGAGGGGTCACTGTGAGTCGGATCTAACTCAATATCAGTGAGCTTGAGTGAGAGAAATGACAAAACTGACCAATCCCAACATTAGGGTTCCATACACCTTACTTCTGTGGTCCTACCCCCACAAGGTTCCATGTACCTTATTTACATTACTAACAACCTATCTAATACACTTAGTTGACCACAAACACCTCACATTTACATAGTTCCACCCAGTCATCTGGTGGGCACAACAAAGACGATGGCCAGAAGAGCCATAACAAGTAATTCATTGTACCACATATACTTTACACTGTCTTCTTGAGCTGCCCTTTGAGATCTTCTGTTTGGCTCTTTTACTTCATCGTTTCTTCTGTTTTTTTTAGCTACTCTGTGTTCAAGGGCAAATTTCAAAGTCTCTCCTGACATCCATTTTGGTGTTTTCTTTCATTCCTGTCTTTTTAATGACTTCTTGCTTTCTTCATGTATGATGTCCTTGATATCATCCCACAACTGATCTTCAGTCACTAGTGTTCAATGAGTCAAATCTATTTTTGAAATTATCTCAAAATTCAGGTGAAGTATACTGAAGGTTGTACTTTGGCTCTTATAGACTTGTTTTACTGTTTTCAGCTTCAGCTTGAACTTGTGTATGAGCAGTTGATTGTCTGTTCCGCAGTCACCCCCTGGCCTGGTTCTGACTGCTGGCATTGAGCTTCTCTATTGCCTCTTTCCACAGATGTAGTCTGTTTGATTTTTGTGTATTCCATCTGGCAAGGTTCACATTATTATAGTTGAAAAAATGTATTTGCAGTGAATAAGTTCTTTGTTGTGCAAAATTCTGTCATGTAGTCTCCAGCATCTTCTCCATCACCAAAGCTGTATTTTCCAACTACGGACTCTTCCTCTTTGTTTCCACTTTTGCATTCCATTGCAATTATCAGTGCATCTTAACTGCATGTTTGGTCAGTTACAGACTGCAGAAGTTGGTAAAAACATCTGTTTCTTCATTTTTGGTGTTAATGATTGTTAACTAAATTTGAATAATAGTCATATTAACTGGTCTTCCTTGTAGGTATATGGTTATTATCCTGTCATTGACAGTGTTGTACTTCAGGTAGATCTTGAAATGTTCTTTTTGACAATGGATTTGACACCCGTTCTTTTCAGTATGTCATTTCTGACATAGTAGACAATATAATTGTCTGATTCAAAATGGCCAATACCAGTCCATTTCAGCTCACTAATACCCAAGATAGGATCTTCAAGAGCTCCATTGCATTTTTGATGACTTCCAATTTTCCTAAATTCATACTTCATACACTCCTGTTCTTATTATTAATAGATGTTTGTGGTTGTTTCTTCTGATTTTGAGTTATGTTACATCAGCAAATGAAGGTCCTGAAAGCTTTACTCCATCTATGTTATTTAGATCAACTCTACTTTGAGGAGGCAGCTCTTTCCCAGTCATATTTTGAGTACC